TACGTACGTTACTACTACGACTACTACTGTTATATATATACTATATATACTATATTACTATACTAATACTATATATATATATATATATATAACTCAAACCCATCCCCACCCACCCGTCTACAGGTAGCTGACATGTACACTGCGTTAGTATCGTCGCGTGCGCTCGTCTATGCCACTGCCAGGGCTGCTGACGCTGGACTGGCGGACAACAGAGACTGTGCCGCGTGCATCCTGTACTCCGCCGAGGCCGCGACCAAAGTGGGCCTAGACGCCATTCAATGCTTAGGTGTGTGTGTGTAGGGGTATGCATGGATATAGCTGTAGTGGTTATATTGGTGTGTGTGTGTGTATGGGTGTGCATGGACATAGCTGTAGTGGTTATATTGGTGTGTGTGTGTGTTTGGGTGCGTATGGACATAGCTGTAGTGGTTATATTGGTGTGTGTGTGTGTATGGGTGTGTATGGATATAGCTGTAGTGGTTGTATTGGTGTGTGTGTGTATGAGTGTGCATGGACATAGCTGTAGTGGTTGTATTGGTGTGTGTGTGTATGGGTGTGCATGGACGTAGCTGTAGTGTGTATGTTGGCGTGTGTATGTTTGGGCGTGGAAGTAGCTGTAGTGGGGGTGTTCCAGTTGGATATGATATGATATGAGAGAGTTTACTGTGTCCGTCTGTACACGTGCTTTCGTTCAATGCTTTAGTGAATGACACCCGTAGTGTGTAGTGTGGTATGTGGTGTGTCTGAATATGACTGTTGTATGGGTTGGTTTATTGTGTGTAGTGTGGTGTGTGGGGTGTCTGTGTATGACTGTTGTATGGGTCGGTTTGTTGTGTGTAGTGTGGTGTGTGGGGTGTCTGAATATGACTGTTGTATGGGTTGGTTTATTGTGTGTAGTGTGATGTGTGGGGTGTTTGTGTATGACTGTTGGATGGGTCGCTTTTATTGTGTGTATTTCTGTGTGGTGTATCTGCATAGAACTATGTTGCGTTTTAGAGTTTTTGGGTTTCAGGGGGCTTGTTGGTGAAGTTTAGAGTTTTAGGGCTTTGTGTTGAGAGTTTTAGCTAAATCGGCTCCTTTAATCTGTACTTACGAACATGCTACACACACACGTACCTTCAATCCGTACTTACTAGCATGCTACACACACATACCTTTAATCCGTACTTACTAACTTGCTACATACAAACATACCTTCAATCCGTACTTACAAACATGATTCACACAAACATACCTTCAATCCGTACTGACCAACACGCAACACACACCCACACCATCAATCAGTACTGACCAACTACTACATACCCATTCCACTGACAGGCGGAAACGGATACATCAACGACTACGACACAGGACGTATTATGAGAGACGCCAAGCTGTATGAGATTGGCGCAGGTACCACCGAAGTCAGAAAGCTGATTATCGGAAGAGCGTTTAACGCGATGTACAAATAGATGGATTGCGTGCTACTAACTGAGCAATACAATAAACTGTCAGAACGTTTAACGCGATGTACAAAACAATAATAACTGAGCAATACAATAAACTGTCAGAACGTTTAACGCGATGTACAAAACAATAAACTGTCAGAACGTTTAACGCGATGTACAAATAGATGGATGCGCGCTAATGATTGAGCAATACAATAAAGTGTTAGAACGTTTAACGCGCTATACAAATAGATGGATGCGTGCTAAACTGAGCAAAACAATAAACTGATAGAACGTTTAACGCCATGTACAAATAGATGGATGCGTGCTACTAACTGAGCAATACAATAAACTGTTAGAACGTTTAACGCCATGTACAAATAGATAGATGCGTGCTACTACCTGAGCAATACAATAAAATGTTGGCCGTAATCTAATTAGTGTTAGTGCCCTTCTCTGTACTTCACAGGCGGGTTGAACGCTTTAAGAACGTATGTCTGGTTTGGCAGTGCTAGTATGTAGGTACCGAACTATTTCTGAAACGTGTACATGTACAGTGAATACCAGACAGTGATACGGTTTGAAGGTTTATTATATATTACAAGTATATTTGGATTTGGCACCCATCATGATACGGTTTGAAGGTTTATTATATATTATAAATATATTTGGATTTGGCAGTGCTGTAGGTGGTTCGCTAGCCTGTAGGTACCGAACATCCGCTGAATAGGTATATAACAGTATGTATCGGGATGCACTATGTCTGGGCTCGCATTTTAGCCATAGCCATTTCCGCAGCCGACGTTTCTGTTACGAGGTTACAGTTGAGATACAAACAAGCGACACACAAGGTCAGTTAAACTACACAGCAGGCGCCTATAGACAAGTGATCAATACATTAGGTGGTGGTCTATACTGGGGGAAAGCCAAACTCTCTTGAAACTCTCTCGAGCTTGACATCCCGTAGTCTTGAAACTTCTGGGGATAGATATATAGTTTTATAGTATAGTCTGCAACTTCTGGCGATATATATACAGTTAACTGGTTGGGATGGTATCAGCCTATGTCGATACCTTAGCTCCTCTGCTGCAACCGTGGGAAAACGCTATAAACAGTTGTAAATGAAGTGTATCTGGACAGACGCATGGTTGAAAGCATGCACTTTCAAGTATGTATGCATACATGTGTCATCAGAGTATTCTCTACCTACTTGCCTGCCACGTGTATTTAGCTATATGCTTCAGGTTGAATAGATAATGATGATAGGTACTATATAGATGCGTACACCGCCTCGCACACACATGTGTACACATATACGCACTACACATACACACACATATATACATACACATATACACACTACACATATACACACATATATACATACACATATATTCACACACACATATATATACACATTTACACACATATTTACACAAACATATATGTGTGTGAATGTGTAGTGTGTATATGTGTACACATGTGTGTGCGAGGCGGTGTATGCATCTATATAGTACCTATCATCATTATCTATTCAACCTGAAGCATATAGCTAAATACACGTGGCAGGCAAGTAGGTAGAGAATACTCTGATGACACCTGTATGCATACATACTGTATACACACATTTACACACTCACACATATTTACACAAACATATATAATATATATATGCATATATACATATATATACAGACACATATATACACATATGCACACACACATATATACACGTATATACACACACAGATCAAATGCACCTTTTTTCTCCCGATTCCTCCTGCCCGCCCTCCTGCCAGTGGGCGCTGGTACCGCACTGTCCTCTTTCACAACTGGTGCGGTTGGGTTTGGTGCACCTTTTTTCTCACTGCCTGTCCTGCTGATCGTTGTCCTGGACCGGTCCTCGGGTTTAGTCTCAACCTCTCCCAGGAGAGTTCTAGTATATTTAGACATATTTAGAGACAGGTGAGTGAGCAGGGGGGCAATGGTACCCAAATGTGCAGAAGTGTAGGTGTCCTATCGCCAGCCCAGGATTGCACGGAGTTGAGTTTCTACAAACTACAGACACACACACGCAATCCGTTGACAAACGTTACAGCAACAGCACAGACAGACTGCGTTCTGCGACGCACACTACACGCACTGCAGAGGTACACGTATCAGAGGTACAAGTATCAATGGCAAACGTATCAGAGGTACACGTATCAGAGGTACACGTATCAGTGGCAAACGTATCAGAGGTACGCGTATCAGACGTACACGTATCAGAGATATACGTATCAGTGGCAAACTATCAGAGGTACGCGTATCAGAGGTACACGTATCAGACGTACGCGTATCAGAGGTAAGCATATCAGAGATGTGCATTCCACACCATTCGCTCGTGCATAACCCGCCCATACCTGTCAAGCGTGCGGCCCCCCTTGAGCATCTCAATCACCTGCGTCAGCGCGTCTCGGTCTATTTCCTCACCTGTCATTCTAACGCCTCTCGACTTGACCACCCGGGCCGTGGATACAGTACTCCGCAGTCCGTCTGGACCAATCGGATGGCTTGGTGGCGCACCACCTGTGCCTGTGCGGGGGTTGTTCCTACCGGCACCCCGGACTTTTCCTTTGGACTTTTGGCCCAATTGATGGCCCATTTCAAGCGCATTTTGAGCGGTGGTGGAGTTGCCGTCGCTCGACTGGAATGTCCTGTTCCTGTTTCCGCGTGTTTGTCTGCATGTGTGTGGTCGATGGTCTGGGGTCAGCTACCAGGTGTGCACCTATTCTTGGCACCTGAGACCTGAGCTTCTGGACCGTATCCTTACATACTGTAGCTTTGCACGGAACGAGGACTAAGGACAATTCCGGTCCGAAAACTTATACACTGAGTGCATCTCTTACACAGAGTGGGCTGTGGCCCATGAGTGGCTGGCGTGCTGCATGTGTGGGTTGTATTGGCATAGAGGACTACGCACGAACCGGTGGCCAACTATAGAAATAGCGGGGGCTAAACCCTAAAACCCTAGAACCCTACCTACCTTGGCGATCGTTGGTTCTGGTCGGTGAGTGTTGTGAGGAGTGATTTGATTCCCACTTTCTCGGATTCATCTGCGCAGCAACAGAATAAGACATCAGTGGTTGAGTGGGATAGTCAGATCTAAACGCGTTAAAACCACACCATCTAGAGATACAGATACGGTACATACAGGTAGATAAGGTTTGAGTCCAATTGCACCCCATGTTCATGCGTGTGTGTAGACATCAGTGGACGAGTGGGATAGTCGGATCTAAACGCGTTAAACCACACCATCTAGAGATAGAGATACGGTACATACAGGTAGATAAGGTTTGAGTCCAATTGCACCCCATGTCCATGCGTGTGTGTAGACATCAGTGGACGAGTGGGATAGTCCGTTCTAGACGCGTTGCAGACACACAATCTAGAGATACAGATACGGTACACTCGGTGTGATAAGGTTTGAGCCCAATTAAACCTCGTGTCCATGTGTGTGTGTGTGTGTGTGTGCGTGTGTGCGCGCCGCATTTTCGTGCTTACCATCGTCCAGTGTCACATTCACCGCTGGTTCTCCAACCACTGAAGTCCTGTTCTTCTGCTTTAGGGCGGTCACTGCTTTGCGTTTTTTGTCCTCTTCGGCTTTGAGCCGGTCCTCTTTGTCCTGCACCAGGTGCGTGCCAGTAGGGGTCAGACGTAGCAATAGTGAATGCACCCATTGAGTGGTCAGAAGTAAATAGACTGTTTACTTAAAATAGACCTTTTATTATCACATACACATCAGAGAACAAGTCTTTGCATAACCCGTCAGAGGCGCTTGCCCCCACTGCACTACACACACACACACACGTGCTATTGTAACACAGCTACACAGCTACGGAGAGACCAAGCTATTTCCAGTACTCGCAGCACCGTCTGAGCAACACAACACAGATAACTCTTAAAACCCTAAACCCTAAACCCTACACCCTACACCCTACACCCTAAAAGAGCAAAACCTCAGTTGCACTCGCGAGGGTGCTGCACATTTGCTCAGCCGTCAGTACGCGCAGCTACCCATTAACATAAAACATAACCGCAACGGATGGACTTCTGGTCGATGCAGAGAGAGGGCCAAAAAGTTCGGTACCTTTTGCTTCTTAAGCTCTCTGGCCTTCTTCTCATCTGCGGCTTTGATCTCTGCCTCCACACCCTGGTGTGATTCGTGTCAGGCGAGTGATGTAAGCGCAATGCTTAAACGCAGTGCAGTCAGATGCAGTGTAGGTCAGGCTTAAGGTACGGCATGAATATCTGTGGATGGGACTAGTAAAGTACCCCCGGACACACGGAAATCAACTACTAACACGTACGTGCAACGAACACGTACGTAGAGCGCATACAACATCAAGACTACAGCCACACAGACACCCTTTCTACCTTACCTTATACGCATCCACAAATGTATCGAAGATCTCAAAGAACTCGTCCGGGCTCGCCTTCTTCACATCCATACCTACACAAATATGCAGCAAGGACGTGATGTTTATTTTACCCACAGCTTCATCGAACGGCTAAAAGAAAGGGCGTAGCGTTTAACGTAAAGCTTCACCGAATGGTCTAATTGTATGAGAATACGAGGACATTAACGTAAAGCTTCACTGGATGGTCTAATTGTATTAGAATACAAGGTGATTAACGTAAAGCTTCACTGGATGGTCTAGTTGTATTAGAATACAAGGTCATTAACGTAAAGCTTCACTGAATGGTCTAATTGTATTAGAATACAGGGTCCGCTACGATCAGCTTGCTTGCCTTTGGGGTGGGTGGGGTGGGGTGGGGTTTGCCAGTATTTATTGCAATAAAGGGGGAGCATAAATATAGTTCAGATCGGTTGCCTATCAAACATACATGAAACCCTATCCGATGCGGCTGTCGCGGGTGTAAGTGCACATTGTTCGAGCCTTTTGTACTGTATGCCAATGCATATGCAAGGAAAAACCCTGAACCCTAAACCTTGAAACCCTATTCACGCGGCCAAAGGCACGAGCAAGTGAGCGTTGGGGAGCGTAGGGCCGTGAAGCAAGTCAGCATATGCTCAACAGCACGCACGTGTACAACAATTTATCTACTACGTCTACCATCCAGTACTAGTATTGGATTCTATCTACTCAGCACACACAAGCACACTATCTACTACGTCTACCATCCAGTACTAGTATTGGATTCTATCTACACTACTTCCTTCACACGAACATCCACCAACGCAAGCCTCACAGCTTATAGCTAGGTGTCAGACTCTATCATGATTCTCCCAATCAACAAGAGCTATCTCAGCCGTACCGAAATAAACCCTAAAACCCTAAACCCAAAACCTCAAACCGTACCGAAACAAAACAAAAACCCTAAATCTCAAACCGTACGTACCGAAATATCCGACCGCGTCTGTGAACGACTTCTGCATGCGCTCAAAGTTCTGCGTCAGTGTGTCGAACTGAATACTCGATGTCTCGAAAAAGGTCGACGCCACCTCCACAAACCGATCGTCTTCCACCACCTCTCGTTTGTAGTCCAGTTCCGTCTTGACTTTGGCCAGCCCCACCCGAATCTCCGCCATATCGGCAGTCAAACTCTGCAGTTGCACTAAAGAAGACCAGAAATTGTTTGTGGAATTAGTTCTGCTGCGGGACAGTCCAGTTTGAGTTGTTTGGGAATTGTAGAATACATTCGAGGGTTCTCGTCTATGTCGGCGCTCGCTCTCTGGAGCTATACTAAATAGAATGTATACAGCAAAAGATCCTTAAAATCATCCACAACGGCGATGATGTCGTTGTTCTGCGTCGAATTTATATATATATATATGTATATATATATGTATGTATATGTATAT